TTCTGTCTCTTTCTGGCGAGCGCATGCGCCCTAGAGCAAAAACCTCTCCAAAAAAAAAAAAATCAGAGAAATAATATAATTTCCCAGAGTTGGATCAATGTCTTTGGAAAAGGTCCACTGAGGGCTGTGAAGTGAGAAAGTACAAATGCAAACACAAATTGTTTTGAAATTTCAAGAGGCATTTTCCTTTTAGCTGCCAGGAGGCAGGTGAGCTCACCAGACAGGGAGAGGGACAGGAACACTTCCCAGTGGGATGTGCTCACGCTGCAATCCCTTCTGTTTCATTTCTCCAACGTGTCCGGATTTGGGGTCACAGGCATGGTTGCCTGGTGTGTTTTTCAACCTGTCGGAGCTGGGATTCAAACTGCAGTGGGCCATGTGGGATCTAGCGCCTGTAACCAGTAGGCTGGCCAGAGACCATTTTTAAAATGTACCTTTTCCTCCCTCTTAATATTAGCCTTTTTATAAAACTCCAGTTAATCACAGGTCGGACCATGTAAGTGTTCCATTTCCTTTCCGTTCCTGTCTGTCAGGACTTATCGGTGATTTTTTTCCCCAAAACACCCGCTGGATCCCATTTGTTTTCTTCAGCAACGCGAGACTGCAGAGACAGGCAGGGAGAAAGGACTGCTTGTCTCTGGGTCGCAGGAGTGGCCGGTCCATTCCCTGTGACCTAGATGGCCTCTGGCCTTGGTCCCACTGTTCACAGCTGGCTGTGACTCCATGGACAGAGGGACAGGCCACAACTTATTTCCTGTATCTATCCAAGCCACAAAAAATCAGAAGCAAGCAAAAACCATAGATACTTGTTAAAACTGTTTATGGAACAAAATAGACATTACATATACACAAAACTGAAGATGTTCAACTTAAAAGTCAACCCATCTGGAATTCTGAATCTGGGCAGCTTTGCCAAAAGAAAACAGGAGTGAGTTATTGATTTATTTATTTATTTTACTTCCTTTGTGGTATTTCTGTACCGTGAAGTACGGTTTTTTCAAGAAACCCAGAAAAGGCAGTGTTTTCTGACAGGCCCTGAGCATGCTGTGCCCAGCAGGTAGAATGGTCTGGAGGGGCCGGCAGCACAGGAAGCAGCTCTGGGGGAGCCTGCGGCACAGCACTGGGGCCTGAGGTAAAGGATGCAGTCAACCGCACACGTGAAAGGCACATAAAGAATATGTTAAAATAGCTGAAAGCAATGTTGAGAAAAAGGTTACTAGGTAAGGCTCTGTAGATTTTTAAAGTGCCTTTTAAGTGCTCTTTTTAATAAAAAAAAAAAAAAAAAAAAAAAAAAAAAAAAAAAAAAAAAAAAAACCTTGCCCAAAAACCCGCCCGGGGAAAAAAAAAAAAAAGAAAAAGAAAGAAAGAAAGAGTATGGGAGGGATAAGAAAGGAAAATGAGTTGGAATAATTCCATTTCCTCTTCTTTTATATCAGAGAAGGATTATAATGAATGCTTTTTGTGTCTTGAATAAAAGGCCTTTTAAGTCTTTTTTTTAAAAAAAAAAAAAAAAAAAAAAAAAAGAAAGAAAAGAAAACCAAAAAAGCCTGTCCAGGAATCCTGCCTGGGTCCCCAAAGCAGACTCTCAGCAGTAATTTATCTGCCTAAAGCTATCGAACACATGAGCATTAGTGAGTTAGAAAAGCCCTACCAGTTCTGGAGATTGCATATACCATCGGGGGGAGTAGAAGGAAATACTGCCTTTACTTTCCTGCTAATGGTGCCTTCTGATGAGATGAACATCAGCTTTCCTCAATACCAAGGTCACTGCTCTTTGAACACTTGTTTTTAAGATTCCAGGTCAGGCTCCTGGATCTTCCAGCTCAAACAGTGACCTTCTTTCCAGTAAACACAGAAAGACTTGTTTTCCTCTGGGCCTCAAGGACAGGCTAGCTGGAAGCACGGAAAGCCATTGGGATGGCAGGCATTAAGAGGATGAAGACAGGGACTGAAAGGAACCTAGAGGTGCATGGATCTGGGACAAAGTGAACAACAAATCCTGTCTGGAATAGTGTGAAAACAAGAAGGTGCCAAAGTATTAAAAAGTCAGACTAAGATGAACCATTTAATGGCTTAAATTCTCTTATTGGACCGTTCTGGATGGGCACAATAAATACAAGATAAAAGCGTTCAAATCTGCAAATAGCATATAATTTTCTGTCTTTATCAATTTTTGTAGATTTTTGCATTTTCACAAGTTTTAGCAAATTCCAGACTCTAGTGGTAGTGCGCATTTGTCTTCTCTGTGGTTATGTGCCTGTTTGACATTTTATGCACACTGTTTAAGATAACGGGTTCAGAATACAGCTCGTAATACACCAACAATAATTCAGATTTGTTTTGAGCTTTTTTGTTTTTGTTTTTTGCTATAGGGAACATGCGCTCACCAGAGACAGAGAGACAGAAAGCAAGAAATCACCCCCTCAAAGGGGATGGCCATGTCGCAATCCCTTCTCCTCCATCCTCCTCTCGGGATCTTGGGCACACACGTATACGTACCCAGCTTGAGTTTAAGCCACCGGGTCCAGGACTTGAACCATGGTCGACTACATGGGAGTCCGGCAACACAGCCACTACACCAACTGCTGGTCCTTCTTCAGATATTTTATTTGGGATGAGTTATTGGATTGTTAGACTTCTGTTTTGAAACACTTCACTTTATGCCAGTTTTCTTTTAGTCTTTGGACTTGAAATGAGGACAGAAGCTACCGGTTTCTGAAATACTCATTCCTAGTCATTATTTTACTGGCTTCTCTATTTGTAGGGTGTTGTGTGGTATTTCATTTTTTTTTTTTTTTGAGAGATTTTCACTATAGGGCGTGTGCGCTCGCCAGACAGAGAGATACATTAGAGACAGAAAGCGAGAAATCACCCCCCAGGGGGGATGGTCACGCTGCAATCCCTTCTCCTCCATTCTCCTCTCGGGATCTTGGGCATGCACGCACACGCGCCCGGTGTGAGTTTTAAGCCACCGGGTCCGGGACGCGAACCGCGGTCGACTACGTGGGAGTCCAGCGACATAGCCATTACGCTAACTGCTGGTTCCCTTGTGTGGTATTTCCACGAAACGGCTGAACCTAACTTATTTTTGGTATCTGACCAATGAACACCTCACTGACCTGTGCACGTGGGCTGAAACAGCCGCGTCTGACAGGATGTATTTGGGCGAGTATGCAGACACAGACACCTGCCCCCTGCCCCGTGCTAAGCCAGGCTGGGCCGGTCCTGTGACCGTCAGCCTTCATTGTGGGGCTGCCCTCTGCAACACGGGACGGCCAGCAGCAGCCCTGGTTTCTACCCACCAGATTCTGTGTCATGCCTTCCTCAAGTTGTGAGCGCCAAGGGCTCCTGATATTGCCAAATGTTCCGTGGGGAGTACAAATAATGCCCCCGCTGGGGTATCCTAAACTATTTTAGTGGTGAATTCTAATCTCCCCCAAATTTTGATGATTGGAAATGTTCTGTAACTTTCTAATACAGAAGCTGAGAGCTCCAGGGCTCTACTAAGCACTTGAAAGGTGGCTAGTCCGGAAATGTAATCCCTAATTAACTTCACTGTCATTTACATCCTACACGTACTGTGAGGACATGCTTCAGCACAGAAAGCTGAGTAGGAATTGGATACTTAAAAAAAAAAAAAAAAAAAAACAAAAAAATTTTTTTTTTAATTCCTTTTTTTTTTTTTTTTTTTTAAAATTTGACCAGACAGAGAGAGAAAGAGAAAGCCAGAAAGCAAACCACCAAGTCTAGGACTTGAACCGTGGTCAGCCATGTGGGAATCCGGTGTCCCGGTACTGGATATTCTTATAAACCGGGTATCATTTGTGGTTAAGAGGCAATAAAATTTCAAGAGAAAGAGAGTATTATTTAAACAAAACAAAATAACCTTTCTCCACCATTTTTTTGTCTTTGCTGAATCTCTCATCCTACCTGTATATTTTTTCCTCTTAAAAAAGTCCTATTTATGAACATTTATTTCATTCTAAGCATCTATTAGTTGTAAGGCAAAGTGTGAAGTTAAAGATTAGAATGAAAGAAGTGTAAATCCTCTTTTAAAGCAAAAATTGACACTTTTTTTTTTTTGTAGCAGGATAGGAGTCTTAACTGAAAGAATACTAAGTGAATTCTGGTAAACAGTTCTAGGAAAGAAAAGCAATATTAAATGAATTAAATGAAATGGAGAAAAACAAACCAGGATTGAAAGAGAACATTTATTGAATCAAAATCAATACTTTCTTTTTAATATCTACAAGCCAACACTGAACTCACTTTATTCAAGAATGAACACAATGTACAAAAAAAGTATGCTTATATTATAAAAATATGTCAATTTTATCTTCTGGGTGCTGAGCAGAAGTCACTTGAAACAAAAATCAAGGCAAACTTGTTTTCTATAATGAAACCGCTATAATTTAATAACAGAAGTGGAAGCGAGTGTGCTGCACAGTGACTTGAAAGGCCCTCCGAGCCGCCGCACTGGAGCTGCGCGCCCCAGCCCCTCCAGCCACGCTTCGCTCTGTGCTCGGCCCGCGCCATGCCCACATCACAGGAAAGTACCTCTCACGGGGCGCAGGTCACTGCGAACATCCCCGCGACCGGACCTGTTGTTTCCTTTAACAGTTGTTAGCATACATTTCAGCGAAGAATTAACAGGATAGTGAATTCTTAGTAGGAAGATCCCACTTATTGACGTAGGTCCAATTTTAAAAGGAGACACTGCTGTGGGGGACAGAAGACCTTTCAAAAACTAGGAGTCTATGAATGTGGGGAAGACCGCCTCTCTGCATACACTCAAATATCCTCAAGCTTCCCTATAAAATTTAAGTCCAAAGTTACTATCACTTTTTTGTAACTTATTTCTTTTTACTGGCACCTCTCCAGGTGTCCCGGGCATGTGCTCTTGTGTACATCTTGTTCCTGTGACGTTAGTGGCAGCTGCAGGACAGTCAGAGGCTGCAGTGCCAGCCTCTGGGGAGCAGTGGATGGATGAGTCTATGAATGTGGGGAAGACCGCCTCTCTGCATACACTCAAATATCCTCAAGCTTCCCTATAAAATTTAAGTCCAAAGTTACTATCACTTTTTTGTAACTTATTTCTTTTTACTGGCACCTCTCCAGGTGTCCCGGGCATGTGCTCTTGTGTACATCTTGTTCCTGTGACGTTAGTGGCAGCTGCAGGACAGTCAGAGGCTGAAGCGCCAGCCTCTGGGGAGCAGTGGATGGATGGACAGAAACTAGGATGAAGTCATGGGTCGGGGAAGAGGGACCATGGCTCCCTGCACTATTATTGCAGAGTTAAATGCAACTATAAAAAGCGTACAAGTTTAAAAGTCAAAGTGAAATATAGACTAAATGGCATCGGTGCTGACAATGCCAAGAAAATCCAGCCCATCTCTTAAAGAGCTTACACAGCAGCTTCCCGGGCAGGAAACCGACCCTCACTGAGCAGAATAACAACGGTACTCGGGCAGATTCCAGAGCTCCCTGTCCACGTGGTGAGTTAATGACAACAGATGAATTAAAGCACAGAGCTTATTGAACAAACTGTAAAATGCCTATTCTGAAGAGTCCAGATGCTTTTCCTTGACAGAGTCTCTCTGTTCTTGGGATTCACATCTATAAAGGCTCAAAACTGCAAAATACAAGGATTGAGTACTCTTATGCCCAACTGTACTAAGTTAAATTCCAAAGAACTGGGGGGACGGGGGATGGGGCTGCTTTCATGTTTTGCCTACGTAAACCTAACACTGATTCAGTTACCTGTTCATAACAACCTGGGACTAAGGTGAGGGACAAGGGATAGATGAAGGCAGACAAGAAAAATGGAAAACTGTTCTTTTATTCAATTACCTAATTCCTTATAAAATTGTTAAGTTTTCAATTAAGCCCCACTTGCTGCATGAAATGTTAATCCTATCAAATGCGGTTAGACAGGCCTGGACCACAGGGTTCACACACACTAATGAGAACACAAATGACTGAGCCTGACTGTACAGTCTAATAGGAAAGAAGCAACATGTACAGAAATATCTGAAATATGTAAAATTTAGGCAGGAGAAACATATTTTGGCACCTGAGAAAGCTTCTTACCAATACCATTAACTAGTCAGCCCACGGGTTCTCACTAGTGTCTCAGCCAGGTCAGTGTGCTGCTCTCGGCAACTTCTGTGGCCCCCAAACAGGTCGCGTACAGAAAGGCCATGACTCTGGGGGTCTACGGTTAGTAGTATAGGCCAGAAATTCAACACCCTGCTACTGGGAACAACTAGATATCAAATATTAAGCAAAAATGGAAAACACATAAAAATAAAGAACGTACACAAAGGCACAGCAAATGAAATGAAGGTGCGTGCTCCGGGTCAGACTGGACGAGTCTTACCACAACACTCCGATACAGAGGCATGCCTGTCTACCGTCACAGGTGTGTGCTCTCGAAATAAATATACTGAACATTTATAACAGAACGAGGGCCTTATGAATGCAAGCTTTTCTTTTATTGCGATTCTAATCAAATAGACCAAAAAGTCATTCTTCTAAAATAAGATAGGCGTCATCTTTTTTCTGTGAAACTGATGTGACGTGGTGCCACAGCTCGCCTTTCTTTCTGTGTCTAATAGCAGCAGTATCGTCAGCCCACGGCCACAAAGAAATCTGTTTCTGGCTTTCCGTGGGCTCTCATCAAAGCAACCTCATAAAGCATGCAGATATTTACTCTGCTGAAGTTTCAAAAAAAAAAAAAAAAGATCATTGTGCTTGTGGGTCTCACACCTTCCAAAATATACATACACGGTGACAAATCAACAAATAATAGCAGGTCCTTGCTTACTAATAAAATCATAAGGCGGGGGGGGGGAGGAGGAAGGAGAAATGTTTAAAATGGATAAAACTGCAAAATGGTGCTAGCATTCACAACAAAGATCATGCCAAGATCAGTTCCACGTTGATTAGACGTTGAAAATTCAGCTATAATCCAAAGAACTCTGCCCATGAGTCCCAAGGCATGCGTGCTGGCGACGGAAATGCAGGGTCCATCTGGTATCTTCTGTGGAGCAGAACAGTAATGTCTCACTGAGAGGGTGAACAAGACGCCTTCACACTTTTTAATAATTAAAAAGAAAAACACAATCACAAGACCAAAAAAATAAAAAAAAAAAGAGTAGTGGACAGAGAAAATGCATAAATTCATAATAACCTATAAAACCAAAAGAAAAAATTATTTTTATAGTTTCAGGGTTCATCCTTTTTTAAAGTAGTCTTTAAAACAATTTGACACATTTACAATGAAAGGTTTCTAAGGAAGTGTTAACTATAAATCACTTCACTAATCACGACACCGCCTGCAGTATCACCACTCTAGGTAATCATGCCCTAACAGACACGTAAGAGCACCCCCTCCCCAACCAGAGGTCTCAAGGCCTTCAGCGTTCTTCAAAAGGAAAAGAACCTAAAACTCGCATTCAAAATACAGTAACTGCCTAGAACCATCCTTTCTCACTAAGTTCACACAATCCTGTATTTTTATGTTTCCAAGTTCACAATTAAAAAAATAAATAGAACGAAATACACATTTTTTTTAACCCCGAGGCTTAGTTAAGGTTGTCCATGGCATCTGCTGTTTGTGGGCCATGTTGGCCTTGAGGTCCTGGCCCCCAGCTCAGGTACTCACTGGAGAAGGGACGGGGCTATCCTGCCTTTGTGTCCACGAGCTGCATCTGCACATTGGCAGACATGCCCCCTCCATAGCCACCTTTGGACTGCATTTGGTTCTGGATGGAGCTAACCTAAAACAAGAAGAAAACAAAACGAAGTCAGGAACTCGGTCTACGGCAACGAGGTGATTCTTTTCCTGTCATTTTAGCTGGTGTGCTTGTTCAAAAGGGCACTTTTACAGAAAGAAATCTCTAACTTGTTACAAAGTTAAGAGTTTTCATGTTATCACGGCAAATGATAAGAACAGTAATTAAAACTTTTTTTTAACAACTCCCTCTCTCTCCTTTATCTGCTTTCCAATTACTAAAAATCCATTTAGTAATTCACAAGGTACTTGTTAACATTTCAAAAACAGTTAAAAAAAAAAATACAGATCAACTCAACTTTCTCTTCCTCAATTTCAAGTACCTTAAAAGAGAGAGAGAGAGATTTTTGCACTTCCTGTGCTGATAGCAGGCCCGCAAGCATGGTGAATGTCCCTAAAACCCGCCGGACCTTCTGTGAGAAGTGTGGCAAGCGCCCACCTCACGAAGTGACACAGTACAAAAAAGGCAAGGATTCTCTGTGTGCTCGGGGACAGCGGCGTTATGACAGGAAGCACAGTGGCTGTGGTGGACAGACTAAGCCTATTTTCCAGAAAAATGCAAAAACTACCAAGAAGATTGTGCTGAGGCTTGAACGTGTTGGGCCCAACTGCAGATCTCAGAGAATACTGGCTATTAAGAGAAGTGAGCACTCTGAACTGGGAGGAGATTAGAAGAGAAAGAGTAAGTGAAGAGTCAAGTGATCCAGTCCTAAGCCTCACCTTTTGTTTTACTATGAAGATGACAAAATCTTGAGGTGAATGTTCACCTCATTTGATTACAGTTGGTCTTTTTGTGAGGAAATAAAGTAATCAGTGGTTCAAGTCCCGAACCTGGCAGCTTGCTTTCTCACTTCCCTTCTATCTGTCTGTCTCCAGTCAACTTCAATAAAATAAAATTAATTAATTAAATTAAATAATTACAATGAATAAAATTAAATAATTTTTTAAAATTTAAAACATATATATAGAATTTGAAAGTATAAAATACATAGGTTATTTAAATCTAAAAGGGTTAAGTGAGAAAATGTGTTTGGCTCTTAAATAGGTTCAGTTTTACTGATCTGGAAATCTCATTTAAGTGGAACATAATGAGGTATTACTCTAATATGTTCACATTAATCAAATGATTGGGTAAACACATAAGAAAGAGAAGCTGACATATATATAGAATTTGAAAGTATAAAATACATAGGTTATTTAAATCTAAAAGGGTTAAGTGAGAAAATGTGTTTGGCTCTTAAATAGGTTCAGTTTTACTGATCTGGAAATCTCATTTAAGTGGAACATAATGAGGTATTACTCTAATATGTTCACATTAATCAAATGATTGGGTAAACACATAAGAAAGAGAAGCTGAGAGACCACAAATCTCAGAAGCCATTTACATCTGAGGTGTGCCCTGCTGTGTTCAGGGACCAAGACTACTGAAGAACCTGCTCTAAACCCCATCCTCCAGACCCCAAAACTCAGTTTTAGAAACCTTCCCCAGCCAATTAGCCAAAACGACTAAAATTCAGAGAAGAAAGACTGCAGAGTGAGCAGCAAGGAGACGTACAGAGCTGCAAAGAGCACAGCTCATCTCCTCCCACACGCCTCTGAACTCTCAGTAGAAAGCCCGCAGTCAGTCCAGGTGTGCCTATTCCCTAAAAACTGTGAGGCCTTTGTAATATCCAGTTCCGAGGTCAAAAGCACAGGTTGCTTGGTGAGCATCAGGGATATGGAACTGCAGAAAGACTGCAGATCACCTTCTCCCACACACCTCTAATGCTCAGAATTAACCCCAAGAAATTAGGAAGAAATGTATAATCCATCCGATGACCAGAAACCACTGCAGACACACAGAAATATGAGAAACCAAGAAAATATCTCTCTCCCAAGGGAAAAGAACCACCCTGTGTCATCCACAGACAGTACAATGGAACTCATGTAAATGTCTGATAAGGAATTCAGAATATTCACAGTGACAAAACTAAATGAGATGCAACAGCTGAGAGACAATGAACTCCAGAAGGTGCAAGAGAAGAGACAATGAGTTCCAAGAGATGAGGAAGTTCTTCTATGATTTGAAAGAAGAAATACACACCATAAGGAAGAATCAAATGGAGCTGTTAGAGATGAAACCTATAATACAGGAAATCAAAACCTCCCTCAAAAGTATTCAAAGCAGGGAACCAGCAGTTAGTGTAATGGCTATGTCGCTGGACTCCCACGTAGTAGACCGCGGTTCGCATCCCAGACCCGGTGGCTTACAACTCACGCCGGGCGCATGTGCATGCGTGCCCAAGATCCCGAGAGGAGAATGGAGGAGAAAGGATTGTGGCATGACCATCCCCAGGGGGGGTGATTTCTCACTTTCTGTCTCTATGTCTCTCTCTCTGTCTGTCTGGCGAGCGCACGTGCCCTATCGCGAAAAACCTCTCAAAAAAAAAAAAAAGTATTCAAAGCAGATTAGACCATGTGGAAGAGCAAATCATGGATGCTGAAGACAAAATTTCTGACTTAGAAAAAGTTACCAAAAAGACTGAGAAAATACCCCCCCCCCAAAAGAGCATAACATACAAGAAATACTAGATACTATTAAGCACCCAAACATCCAGATAATCTGTTTCCCAGAAGGTGAAGAAACTAATAAAGGCATTGATAATCTATTCCATGAAATCCTGGAAGAAAACTTTCCAAACCTAGAGAGGCATTCAAATATCCAGATTGGCCAAGACCACAGATAAAGACAAGATATTCAAATAGGCAAGAGAGAAACTTCAGGTTACTTACAAAGGTTATCCCATCAGGCTAACATCAGACCTCTCATTGGAAACAATGCAAGCAAGGAAATAATGGGAAAATCTATCAGAAGTGTTAAATGAAAAGCAATTTCAATCAAGAATATACCCAGCAAGATAATCTTTTATATGAGAAGAAGAGATAAAAACATTCTCAGATAAGCAAAACCTGAAATGATTTACCAACACCAGACCAGCTCTTCAAGAAGTTCTGAAGGGAGTGTTATCCCAGGAAAACGAGACAGAAACAAGCGAACAAAAACCAAAGAAAATGACCAACATAATAGTAGGGACAGGTTTGGAAATATCAGTAATAATGCTGAATGATGGGATCAGCAGATGGCATAATGGTTACATCACTGGACTCCCACATTGTCGAATGTGGTTTGAGTCCCAGACCCGAGGCTAAAAAGTCATGCATGCCCAAAATCTCGAGAAGAGAACAGAGAAGGGATTGTGGTGTGGCCATCCCCTCTTGGGTGATTTCTTGCTTTCTGTCTCTCTGTTTCTCTCCATCTCTCTGGCAAGCACACACATCCTATAGCAAAAATCTTTCCACACACACACAAAAAAGTTGAATGTTAACTTCTAGGATTTAAACACAAAGACTGCAAATTCAACAGAAGAGAGATTAATTACATGGGACTAAAGGTAAAATAGATTTTATGACTTCCGAGTTAAACATTACTGTTTTTTTTTTAGTATGCTTTGTTTTCCAGATTTAAGGATTTTGCTTTCTTTTGAGTTGTTGATAGGTTCAGCAATTTGTTAAAATTTTTCTATTTGTTTTTTAAAACTGCAACATAAACTTTTCTCCCTTCCTGACCCCTATAGAATCAGCACATTTGGAAGTGTTCTTATTTTGTGGCAGAAGGGTTATTTGCATAAGTTCAAAAATACCTACTGCCTTGCATCAGAAACTGGAAATAATTCATTATTGCCAGGACTTTGACTGGAATGTCATATCGGAAGATATGACCAGAAAACTATGGAACTACAGTAGATCTCAAGAAAGTCAACAGAAGCTCTTGGAAAGAATGCCTGGTACCATAAACAGTTCTGCCTGGCAGAGAGGATTAGAGACGCCATATGAAAGAATTTGTTCCATAAAATAACCTAGACCTTTCCAGTCTAGCATTTTTTCCCCAAGAATTAATTTTACTCATGATTATTATTTTTTTGATTTGACCAGAGAGACACAGAGAGAAGGAAAGTGAGAAAGCAAGCTGCCAGGTCTAGGACATGAACCATAGATAGCCATGTGGGAATCCAACACCTTAACCACCATGCCACCTGCCCGTCCAGCACTGTAATCAGTAGAGATTGCAAAAGAGCAGCCACAATCAGAGGATTAACTTGAGGAAGATTTTGAAGGAAGAAAAAGAGACTGATCTTTGCTAGCAGATAGTATGCTACAGAATACCTGGTAGGCAGAGATGAGCAGGGAGGGTTCACGTGCAAACTGTGTGCTGGGTATTTGCTTCTCAACAGTTGAGTAGTTGACATGTACATATTTTCTCAAAACTATTTAAAACTATACAGTCTGTTATTATAGATTAACAAACAAAATTATAAGAAATACTTTTAAAATTATCTTTAAAATTCAGTTTTTTGAAAAATTTTAAAAGAATTATTTAATTTTATTTATTCATTCATTTATCTTAATTTGACCACAGAAAGAGAGAGAGAGAAAAAGAGAGGGAAAGCAACACACCAAGTCCAGGACTTGAACCGTGGTTGGCCATATGGGAGTGTCCAGCGCCTTAATCACTATGCCACCTGCTGGTCCCAGTTTTTTGAAATTTTGAAAATTGTTTTCTATTAACTGCCAAGAACTATGGAGTATGAGCAGAAAATTTCGATATGTAAAGTAAATGTCTGTGGGAGAATGTAAAAAATAAATAAATAAAATAGACATCAAAAGGGGATGGCCATGCCACAATCCTTCTCCTCCATTCTCCTCTGGGGATCTTGGGCACGCATGCGTGCGCACACACACCTGGTGTGAGTTTAAGCCACCAGATCCGGGATTTAAACCACGATCAACAACATGGGAGTCCAGCAACACAGCCATTATTATGTCAATCAACGGCTGGTCCCAATTTAGGCCTATTTAAAAACAGTATCTCTGGGCCAGCAGGTGGTCTGGTGGTTGAGGCACTAGACTCCTACATGGCCAACCTTGGTTCAAGTCCCGGACCTGGCAGCTTGCTTTCCCTTTCTCTTTCTTTCTCTCTCTCATTAAAATAAATGAATGGGGGACCAGCAGGTGGCGTGGTGGTTAAGGTGCTGGACACTCCCACATGGCTGACCACAGTTCAAGTCCTGGACCTGATGGCTTACTTTCTGACTTTCTCTCCCTCTCTCTCTCTCTGTGTGTGTGTGTGTGTCTCTCTCTCTCTATGGTCAAATTAAAATAAATAAAATTAAAATAAATCTTTAAAAAAAGGAATGAATGAATGAATGATTAAATATAATTTTTTTGAGATTTTTTTTGCTAAAGGGAGTGTGCGTTCACCAAAGAGAGAAAGAGAGAGAAAGCGAAAAATCACCCCCCGGGGGGATGGTCATATCATAATCCCTTCTCCTCCATTCTCTTCTCGGGATCTTGGACACGCATGCACATGTGCCCAGCATGTTTGAAGCCACCAGGTCCGGAGCTTGAACCTCGGTTTACTATATGGGAGTCCTGTGATGTAACTATTAGGCCATCTGCTGGTCCCAATAAATATATCTTTTTTTATTAAGTTGATGATTTTCTTTTAAAAAAATATTATTTAACTTCATTTATTTATTTATTTAAATTTGACCAGAGAAAGACAGAGCAAGAGAATGGGAGGGAAAGTGAGAGAGCAAATCACCACATATGGACTCGAACCACAGTCAGCCATGTGGGAGTCGAGCACCTTTAATCACCATGCCACCTGCTGGCCCCAATCTTTTTAAAAGATTAACTAAGACAAAACAAAACAACACACCATCTTAGGGACAGCAAGTGGCATGGTGGTTAGGGTGCTGGACTCGCACATGGCTGACCACAGTCATAGTTCCAGACCTGGTCATTGTTTTCTCACTCCCCCAGGTCCCCTCCCCCTCTAGTGAGTGCACATCCCTATAGCAAATTAAAAATAATAATAATAATAATAATAGGGACTAGCAGATGGCATAATGGTTATATTACCGGACTCTTACATAGCTGACCACAGTTCGAGTGGCAGACCTGGTTGCTTAAAATTCACGCTGGGCATGTGTGTGTGCGTGCCCAAAATCCCAAGAGAAGGGACTGCGGCATGGCCATCCCCCATGGAGATCATGAACTAAAATTTAATCCTTTCTATATAGATTTTTAAAAATTATCTGAAATGATGAAGATATTTGTTGAAAGAAGTTAAAATAATGAACACAAAACAACTCGTTCTATTTGTATATTAACTAGTAACTATATTGGGACCAGCGGATGGAGTAATGGTTATGTCACTGGACTCTCCTACATAGCTGACCACAGTTCAAATCCTATCTCTGGGGGCTTTAAACTCATGCTGGGCACATATGCACACATCCCCAAGATGCCAGGAAGAGAATGGAGGAGAATGAATTGCGGTGCGGCCTCCCCCTGAAGGTGATTTGTTTTCTGTCTCTCTGTTTCCAGTGAGCACAGAGCATACATGTCCTATAGCAAAAATTTGTAAGAAAAAAAAAATAGTAAGTATATTAATCAAAGTAAACTTAGTTTTTTCCATCCCTGTTGATCTAAGAAACAAAGGTGGGGGACCAGCAGGTGGCATGGTGGTTAAGGCGCTGGATACGCCCACATGGTCGACCATGGTTCAAGTCTTGGACCTGGCGGCTTGCTTTGTCACTTTCCCTCTCTTTCTCCGTGTGTGTCTCTCCAGTCAAATTAAAATATATGAATGAATAAATAAAAAGCTTTGAAAAAAAAAGAAAGAAAGAAACAAACAAACAAAGGTACTGAGTCTGTTTTCACAGCAACATGCCACCTCCATGTCCATAAAGGCAGTCAAGTGAAACAAAGCACTTTCCCTAAAACACATTTAAAACAAACAAGCTGCTTCCTTTCCAGGAAGCTACTGTCACTCCTTTGCTTACCTAGTAACTGAAGTAAGGAATGTGTTTGCCGTATCCAGGATACCCATCTACCTATTAAAAGTCCCTGTTCTCTTAGTAAGTCTTCTGCAAAGGCTGTCCAGTGAGCCTGTATACAGTGAATCATAATCTTAAATTCACAAACACCGCACTGACGTCAGTTCTGAGAACTTCAGGAATCAGCCGGGACTTTGATTCTCAGTGGCCTGCCTAAGGGCAGAATAAGGCAGAGTCCAGTAAAAACCTTTTCTGGCAGGCAGCATGTGGTGTGGTCGTTAGGCGCTGGACTCCCACATGGCAAACTGTGATTCGAGTCCTGGACTGATGGCTTGAAAATCACCCTGAGCTATGCGTGCATTCATACCCAAAATCCCAGGAGAATGGAAAAGAAGGGATTGTGGTGTGGCCACCCTCCAGGAGGGTGCTTTCTCACTTTCCCTCTCACTAACCTGGTGGCAAAAACATTTAAAAAAAAAAAAAAGCCCTTTTCTGATGTTTCTATTACATTGCATTCTGATTTTCTCTTAGATGAAAATTAAGAAATAAAAAATTCTAAGTAAATCTAAAATTTATTCTGAAATTCACTGAAACCTCTATAAGACAGCAAATTGATCTTATTTCTGCTCTTCATACTCTATTGCCAAATATGACCAATTTTTGCTGCGTTCCCTCAGGGAATGTGTACAAATTCTAATCCTCTGGGTAGTGCATAGGAACTTGTATTATAGTTAATAAATAAATCACAAACATCCTATGATCATCGGGTAAAGGCTAATACTTTATGAAGTAAATGCAATGAAAATACTTGCAAAGGGGAACTGAACTTAAGGGAACAAAAAGAGATAAAATATTATTAAAAGCTGATTTCCAAGTCTCTTTTGGTAGAAGCATGAGAATCAATGGGATATTAACTTCCATTCTAATCTCAAGGCCTTTAAAGCTTAAAGTATTCAAGAAACAGGATGCTATGAAAAGACAGAAACAAATATACAACTTGGCAAGCTAGAGAAATTAATTTTTCATTATTCATTTTCTTCTATATTCACATTATCTATGTGTATCCAGTGTCTATGAATTCATTTAGAGTGTCATTCAAAACACATACGTTTCCTATGATGGCCCGAGGCAGCTGCACGTCCCACCACACACTTACTGAATTCATCCCGCTGAACAGGTCTCCCGATCCCACGTGAGCCGTGTGCACAAAGTTCGTTGGCTCGCCAATCATACTCCGGTCAATCCGTCGTCGCCTTTTCTAAAATATGAGGAAAAATGTGTTGAGAAAATTATCTTATTAAAAATGTATTCTGGGGAACCAGGAGTTAGCATAATGGCTATGTCGCTGGACTCCCACGTAGTCGACCGCGGTTCGCGTCCCAGACCCGGTGGCTTAAAACTCACGCCGGGCGCGTGTGCGTGCATGCCCAAGATCCCGAGAGGAGATCCTTTGATTGTGGCGTGGACACCCCCCTGGGGGGTGATTTCTCGCTTTCTGTCTCTATGTCTGTCTCTGTCTGTCTGGCGAGCGCACGCGCCCTATAGCAAAAACCTCTCAAAAAAAAAAATGTATTCTGATAGACTTATATACTATGGATGAACAAATTACTTGGTAATTTAATAAATCTGCCTTGGTTGCAAAAATGCCTACACCTAGCTCACCACAATACCTCGTAGGATAAAATCCCCAGTAATAATATGTGCACAAAAAAATGGTTAGTACTGTAAAAGAACAGGATATTCTTTAGAATGTAATAGATTTGGCCTAGCTTTAGCCATCTACATATTTGTAAAATGATCACATAAGCTTTACTCCTTTTTATTTTTTATCGGGAAATTTTTGCTACAGGGCATGTGTGCTCACTGGGAGAGACAGAGATTGAAAGAGAGATAGGAAGAATTCACCCCCAGGGGGATGGCCAGGCCACAATCCCTTTCCTCCATTCTCCTCCTGTGACCTTGGGCACACATGAACATGCACACATGCCCGGCATAAGTTTCAAGTCTCTGGGTCCAGGACTTGAACTGCAGTTGACTATGTGGGAGTCCAACGATGTAACCATTATACCATCCGCTGGTCCCAAGTTTTATTCTTTTAAAAAAATTAGAAAAATGTAAAATCATCAGTCACCATTAACTACTAGCAAAGAACAGTGTGACTAGAGCCCAGCGCTCTGATTTTAATTGCTTTCTTTCGTCTTTATGAACTATTTTTTTTTTTATGAACTATGTTTTGATGGTTATTTCCTGGGCTTTACTCCACTTCCTTTCCACACCTGAGTGAGGGTCATTCAGCTGTCATGTGTGTGTGTGTTGTGTGCACACACATGCACGTGTCTGTCTGTAGAGGGCATGATGTGTTCCTACTCCACCTATCATTTTCTGGTCTGTTCTCGCTATAAACAAATGCTGACCAAACTCAGTCAAGTAGGCCAAGGCTTAGTGACTCCCTAATTTTGGATAAACACTTTATTATACAGTCTGGACCCTGTTTCCCAGTAGCTTTAGCCACCAACTGGAATAGCTAAAGCACCAATATACCACCTCTCCTTACCCTGTGGCTGTCTCACTGACCATCTGAAATTTTTCCAGATGACACTGTTCTGTGTATTCCTTTTTGCTACTTCTGGAGTTCTTATATGGACATCTGAGTGTATGTATATAATCTTCTGAGTTTCTTGTATTTTCATTTCTCTCTCTCTTTTTTGTTTTTTAACTGCCAGAGGCACATACATTCATCAGTGAGAGAGAGAGAGAGAACAAGCGTAAACAACCCCCAATAGACATGGTCATGCCACAATCCTTCCTTTTCCTTCCCTCCTCTATTTCTCCATCCTGCCAGGATTTCAGTGGCATGTTTCTCAAGCTGCTGGGACCAGGATTAGAGCCATGGTCAGTCATGTGGAATCCAGCTCCCAATGCACAATGCTTAACAAGGGCATTGTAGAGCCAGCTGTTGATCTATTATTTTCATTTCTCTTCATAATTTCACTTCATCAAAAAATAACTACTTGGGACCAGCAGTTAGCGTAATGGCTATGTCGCTGGACTCCCACGTAGTCGACCGCGGTTCACGTCCCGGACCCAGTGGCTTAAACTCACGCCAGGCGCGTGTGCGTGCATGCCCAAGATCCAGAGAGGAGAATGGAGGAGAAGGGATTGTGGCGTGGCCATTCCCCCTGGGGGGTGATTTCTCGCTTTCTATCTCTCTGTCTCTCTCTGTCTGGCGAGTGCACGCGCCCTATAGCAAAAACCTCTAAAAAACAAACAAACAAACAAACAAAATATAAATAACTACTTGATCCTCTTCAGGAGGTCATCATTTTTTTTTTTTTCATGAAAGCCAGACAATAAATATTTTGGGCTTGCAGGCCAATACAGTTTCTGTTGTAGATCTGGTCAACTTTGCCATTCCAGTATGAAAACAGCTATAAGCAATATGTAAACAAACGAGTGTAGCTGTGTTTCAGCAAAAGTTTATTTATTTTTAAAGAACTTTAATTTTATTTATTCATTCATTAATTTTAATTTGATGAAAAAGAGAAAGAGAGGGAAAATGAAAAAGTAAGCCACCAGGTCTGGGATTCAAACCGTGCTCGATCATGTGGGAGTGTCCAGTGACTTAACCACCATGCCATCCCCCGCCCCCAACACCTCCTCCAGTAAAGAATTATTTATAAAAACAGGTGGCTAGCTGGATTTAGCCTGCAAATAGTAGTACTGACCCCAGTACTAGATCAGTAATATTTTCAGTAGTAGCCACATAAGTTTTATTTTTCCATTCTGGTTATTGTTCATGAGCTTTCTTCAGCGTGATGTTGTTACAGGACTTTTTAATCTCTGAGATTTTGTAGTATATTTTTCCCCTTTAAAATGTCTGATTTATTAATTAAACTATAATGCTTGGAAGCAAAATATTCTCATTTATTTCTCCAAATTTAGTTACTTCATGCTGTTTTTTTAAAAGGATGACAAGAAATGCAGTCTATTTTGGAGGGCCCTGTTCCAGAGAATCACTTAAAGCTTTCAAGTTATAACTGCATGGAAAGCCAAGAGAGGGTCCAGATCTTCTGTTTTTGTTTTGTTTTGTTTTAAGTTTTCTAGTTCTTTGCACGATACACTGGTTTCTTGCTTTTCTTTTCTTTTTTAACATTGTCAGAGGGTGCAGGCACTGGCCAGAGAGAGAGAGAGGCAGAGAGAGAAGGTACTCCCACACGCCTTCTATGTGGTAAGGCACAGCCATGCCACAATCCCTCCTCCACTTCTCCATCCTGTCAGGACTGGAGGCATGCATGCACACACAGCCAGCATGTTTTTCAGTCTGCTAGGGCTGGAATTCAAACCACAGTTGGCCATGTGAGACCCAGCTTCCCTTTACCACCAGGTTACAGGGCTAACTGGGAGTCTTGATTGCCCCTTGCCTCGTGAACATGCAGAAGCAACTTCTAACAGCTCTGAATCTGCATCATTTCCTCCGGAAGGGTGTGTTTAGAGCCTGGAGGAAGGCTGCACAGAACAATGAACAGCACACGGCTGGGAGAAGAATTACCATGGTATGCTCAGAAAACCACCATCTCTAATGTTTCTGGAAAGAGT